AAAAAAAAAAAAAAGATGCATTGATGAATACCCTATTCGATCTGTCATGTGGAGGCCAAATTGATGAAGACACATAGGTGGAATTGATGTGTTGTCATCAAGTGATGCGTTGCATTTTCGCTTGATTCGAAAAAATGGAGCTGTAAATTTTGATTGTGTGTATTTGTTGATGTTGCAAGACCATGGATAGGTGCGCCATGATGAGTATAGTCGATCAGTATCATGGAAAGGCATGGGTATCGTCGGAGAAGGTGGTGCAGTCAATTTTTGTGTTGACAAGTTGTTGATTCTGGCCAAATTTGGTAGCATTAGGGTCACTGGTTGGGTGATATTGTAGAGGGGAATGAGGATTATCCAATGACATGAGGTCTCATGATTTAGGTGGTGGTAGTTGGCCGGAGTTTTTGGGATTCAAAGATGGCAGCCCCATGAAATAAAATCAATCCAAAGCAACTTGGAATTGGAATTGAGAAGTGTACTTTCAAGTGACAATTGAGATTTATTTAGGTAGTTGGGTGGCTATTGTGGTGCAACGATGAGTGGTTGGTGGCACGTGGCTGATGGCGACGATGGGTGGTCTTTATTTTTGGTTTTGGGTGAGGGATTTTTAATTATTTATTTTTGACTCATTTTTAATTTTTTGAAAATTTGAGATTATGGCTGCAAATAATTTGTTATTCTTTTCTTTTCTTTTCCTTTTATTTTATTTAAAAAGGAGGGTATATTAGTCATTTCACAGTTTTTAATTAAAAAAAGATGAAAATGATAATTTTTACAATTAATGTCAAAAAAATAAAAGCATGGACGTTTTACACCATAATATTAATAGTATGAGCGTTTTGTGCTAATTGTCCTTGCACCAATCAGCAGGTACTTCCTTTTTCTTTTTGGGATAATGGTTTCACCTAGACTGTCTATTTATAATAATCAGTGAAATTGATCTCCTACCAACAATCAAAAAATCATAAGTAAGATTCTCTTTCAATATCGACAATAAGAAGTTTTTATTCTGTTCACTCGGACAGAAGATCAGGCATGTAATAATCGATGTCACGTAGATTATAAGTTTCAACTTGGTTGCCACGTATACAGACTGCACCAATCATGTGTGCTCGTTTGCAAGTGTTTAAATTAAAACTTAAGCAACAAATCTCATGAAATGTGTGAGGATAAGAAGTGTATAATGAATAGTTAATTTATAAAATGCGTAGATAAAGCATATGTTTTAACAACTTATAATTTAAGTTTTGTCGAACATGCACTGAGTACTTGATTGGTTAAGTTTTTAGGTGTTTATACATAGTGGGTATCAAAGAATTATTTGTGAATGAATAAAAGTATAGAATGACTAATTTATGAGCATAAATTTTGCCAAACATATAAAAAAAAGTGTTTATAAACGACAAGTGAATATAATAAATGATTATTTAAATTGTTGTAGGCTTTAGACAAGTCCTTTTTCCTTGGCGGCAAGTGGGATATCAAATTCACGAAATCAATTAAAATCAAAGATATAGCATTATAAGGTTAATCTAATAGACTGAAAAGATGTCTGAAAATGACTACTCGTTTATAGAATGTTGAAATAATTGAATTGGCGACCCACCAAAAAATTATTCAAGTTTGAACGCTAATAGATTCCAACTAATGTCAGCCGTTCAAATGCGACTTTTGCTTATCCGAATTTGGTTGGAGCTCACTTATATAAAATTAACAATTTGAGACTTCTTATCAAGAAAATTATTATGCATGACAATTACTTATGTATTTGTGTCCACAATGGAAAACATGCTTTTTACTTAATTTTAAGCATATAAATTTTATAATGCGACAGCCCACATTTGTAGACTGAAATATGGTCATGTTCGTTTCAAATTAAAATCAGATTTTAATATAAACTGAAGTCAAATAATTAATATTAATCACATATTTCATGGGTCCCGCATCTTTTCAATCACAAACTTATATCACAATCTACTAAAAATTTAATTTTAATCCCCACCAAACACCTACTATGTCACCTCTACGCAAGAATTCAGAAAATTTAGCCGAAAGTTCAAATCCAAACCAAAAGAAACTAATGTTTAAAAAATCGACTTAGGCGCCAACTAAAAGTAAAAAAAATATAAAACAAGAAGATAGGAAAGCGTTGCCATTGATCATTATTGAATTTTGAATGGATATTTATCTACTTTTTCTTGTCAAACGGTAAAATTCAATTCAATTCTTATGACATTGGTAGTAAAATATGGTTCAAAAGTCGTTAATAAATCATAAAGACATCAACTTTTGGAAACTTCTAATTAAGAAAATTTATTTAATATTTTTGAAAAATAGGAAGTATTGAGTATATTCAAGCACGTGGAAGGCGACCCCTTGTGGAGACCAAATGCCTCACGTCAAGAGAGAAATTTACTAGAAACTTCCATGATCCTTCTAGAGCCAAACCAAGTGTATGTTTGGTTGTGTTTAAAAAATTACTTATACATAAGTCAACAAATGAGTAATATTTCTTATTATGGGACAAAGTTACAAATAAATTACCTTTTTTTTAAAAACTAAAGTAGCTTTTAAAAATTTATCTCGACTGAAAATCCAATCGAAGGCCCACTTTTTCATAAAAATTGATTTTGTAATAGTATTTTTTTTTTTAAAGAAAGTGTGAATAAAATATAAAGAAAAATTCTGAATTTACGTGCAAATTATTTTATAATCAATGGTAAAATTTAGCTATTGTTTGGAAGAAATTAAAATCAATTTTTTAGTAGATTTTGATAAATGTTGATGAAATATAATTGAAAAGTTATTTGTCTCATAAATATTTAATTAAAATTAATTGTTAACTTTAACTTGTGATTTTAAATTATAATATTAGTTGATGAAACATATTTTTTAATAATGCATTCAGTAGGTCTATCACTTATTACATAAGATCAAAATTTATGAGTACTTAAAATAGGCTTAAAATAAGCTTAAAATAAGTAATAGCAATGCCAAACATAAGCTTAAAATTGGCCAAACATGCTTGCAAGAAAAGTCAGACTTCCCATCGATTTTTCTCTTTACGTGAACATCACGGGACCTTCTCAGTCCTCTCCCATCTTCACCCCCTCTCTATATCTCTTCGTATATTTTCTTACTCAAATCTAAAATCGCCCAAAACTTCATCCCCTATACTCCGTTCAAGGGGGAAGAGAAAAAGAAAAACAATAATTAATTAAGAATATTTATGATTTTGCTTGTTGATCCAAATACCATGAAGCACGGGTATGTGTTTTCCTCTCTCCTCTTCCTCGTACTGTTTCATGGAATCACTATGGCCGGAGCTCAGTCGGGTTCCCCGGGATCCGACTCGGGGAACTACAACAACTATGCAACAAGGTTCACACCAGCCATGGCCATAATCATAGTCGTCCTTTTAGCGGCATTTTTCTTCGTTGGTTTCTGCTCTATCTACATCCGCCACTGGTCCAGCGGCTCCGGCAGCATCCGCCGAGCAATCTCGATACGTCGCCGTGCTGGCGGCCAGGTAGGCCTCGACCCTTCGGTTATAGAAAATTTCCCCACTTTCTTATACTCCGAAGTTAAAGATCACAAGATTGGAAAAGGATCGTTGGAGTGTGCAGTGTGTTTGAATGAATTTGAAGATGATGAAACGCTGCGTTTGATACCCAAATGCGATCATGTTTTTCACCCGGAATGTATCGATGCTTGGCTCGAGTCTCACTCTACCTGCCCGGTTTGTAGAGCGAATTTGGTTCCCGGTGATGAACCGGTAGACTTGCCGGAGTTGACAAACAGTATCCGTGAAAGCAATGAAAATATGGAAAGAAGTCAAAGAATCAACAGTTTTAGAAATGAAGAAGTTGTCATACAAGTAACCGGTGCCGGTGAAAATCAGCCGGACGTGAACCGGCCGCCGAGGTCCTTATCTATAAAAAGACTAAGGACGTTCAATTTTGGTAGGTTCAGGTCGCACTCTACTGGACATTCAATAGTTCAACCGGAGGAAAATCATGACCGGTTCACGTTGAGGTTACCAGAAGAAGTTAGGAAGGAGGTGCTGGACCGGGCAATGCTTAAGCGGACTAAAAGCTGGGCGGTCAGGTTCCCTACGGGTGAAGGGAGTTCAAGAAGGGGTTATAGAACCGGTGGAGGAGAAGGAAGCCGTAAAGCGGGAAGATGGTTTGAAAGGTCGAACCGGTGGAGTTTTAATATGGCACGACCAGTTTTCTCAAGAGCGTCATCGATGAAATCACCGAGGATGGTGGCAGAAAACGGTGAAGGGTCTTCGAAGGGGGGTAGGACGCCAGTTAAGATGCCGTCCTTCAAGTGTCTGGAACCTAAGACTGGAGGTGAAAGTAGTATCTCGGCTCATTCTCCGGTTTAGGCGGTTGATATTTTCCGGTGGAAAAGATAAAATATAATTTTTCCACCAATAGGATTTGGGACCCACATTTTGAAACTCTGCCATTGGCACAGTCCACTCGATGTACATTACTTTTTTTTTATTGTTGTCTATTTATTTATTTTGTTTGTAACGAGATTTTGACAGCTTGTCACATTTGAGTTCCCATTCAATTTTTGTGTGACATTGTTTTTTGAGTAACGTTATTCATTCTCGATGAGGATTGAAACACAATTTAGGGATTGTCTGGTGGAAATTTTTTTAACCAAAAAATCAATTTTTTTACCCTTTTTTTCTACACTTTTTGCTCCACTAGACACACAAAAGTCAAACTTTTCGGCTGAATAGTGTTCCCAACGTTCCAAATTGTGATTTATAGTAGAAACATACAGGCCCTTAAGTGATTTTAAATGATAGGATAAATGAAAAGTAAAATTAAATGATTTATTTAATTCAACCTATCATTTAATGCCACATTAACGTCACCTAGATCGTGTTTTTATTTCCATTAGAGGTGAATAGCATTACTCTTATTTTTTGCACACGTAAGAGTCCATCCAAAATTCCATTAAAGAGTGATGTGTCGTGCAAATTATCACTTTAATTATGGATAAAAAAGTTTGGGACGACGATCGCTTTTAGTTTAGGTGATGGACGGGGAAATAAAGCTCCCGTTTGGCATCCATTAATTTCTCATTCTCATTCTTCATTTCAATCACACATTTTTCAAATAAAATAATATTACACACAAATCAAAAAAATTTCATCATTTTTCCACTACACATTCTCACATCAATCACTATTCCAAAATATTATGCAATAGAAACATGGTTC